AAAGTGTAGTCTGGAGATCAATGGAACATGAACAGGTTTTATAACTATAAACCTCTTTTATGGTCTGTTGTCAAGTTGACTTTCAACTTTTATTTTTTTTCAAAATGTATATTATTTTTCAGGGTTGTTCTGTGGTATTTATCTGACATTTTGACAGTTATTCTTAAGATACCTTAAAACTATTCTTTGGCTGACATTATCTTCTAGGAAACTTTATACTTTAGTTGATGTCTTACTGTAGTTATCCTCTGGTTAATGATTGCCTTTTATGTCTTTAAATTTGTGGCTAATTTGAGTTTAATTTTATTTATATTTTTTATAAAATTGCAAAATATACTGAAAGTAAATTTAACTTTATTTGTCTAGTTTCCCCAATTTAAAATAAGATTGTTTTTGTTTTTGGTTGTACTAAGTTATTTGTAGCCTAAATTGTATTTAATTTGCCTTTTTCTCAGACATCTGTCATACACTTAATGAATGTGTTAGTAAGAAGTTCATCTGTGTGACACCTACAGTAATTACTGACTCAAGAACAAGGAGGAAGAAGTGATGAAGAATTATTTGATTAGTCCTCATTTGAAGAATGTTTTGACATGTTTGCATATTAGATATGAGGCATTCTGAAGAGTTAAAGGAAAACAAATACATTCATGGTGTTACAGTACAGTGTTTAAACCAGTCTTTTTTTTATTCCCTGCTACTAACTACAGTCAGGAACTTTTAGAATTTTATTCTGTGACCTTAAAATCCTTTTGATTTATTTTTTATTCCCCCTTCTTTTAACAGCAAAGAGAGCAGGGAGTTGAATTACTTTTTTAGTTAACAGAAAAGGGAAAATGTAACATGAGTCTGAAGTGATAAGACTGCAGTGTCACAGCTGGGGCCTCCTGATATGCCTGAGACTTCATTAAGCCTAGGGTGAGAAACAGAGGAGAGGCTCAGATTAATTCATTCAGCCTCAGTCGTGTGAATATACAGTAGCAGAGGATGAATCCTGATTCCCCGGGACATGTCCTTTATCTGCTGTGTGTCGTCTGCAACAGAGGAATAATGAGAAAAATATTCAAGAGTGAATTTCATTCCTCTGCTGCCTTTTCTAACATCAGACTCCATTCAGTGTTTTTCTATTTGCAGCCTGTGTTGTGTGTTTGCCCTGAGCTACAAAGCAGCATGTTACCACCCAGGCTGTCCCATCTGCTCAGACATCATCCATCCATATTTGGCTGCATGTCAGTGTCTCCGCCCTAATGCTTAACTTTGCTGTTACAGCAGCAGCTCAACTGAGAACAGTTATTATTCTCCATAAAGATAAAAAAGTCATCAAAATAAATGAAATGCCACATTTCACTGTATTCAAGCTTTATTTAACAGTCCAAAAAGTTTTTGTGGATCTTATTTTACTGACAATCTAAATGTCAGTTACACAACACCTAACAAAAACTTTACAAAAGCACGGGTTATTTTGGCCAGATGGCTTTGGGGATAGATAAGTATTAAAGTTATAACCAAAGAGTTTGGTGTCTTTCTGTTTGTGCAGTGTCATTGATTCTGCTTAGAGACATAAAAAGCATTTGCACTGAGGAATAGTTATTACTGTTGGTCAGTTATCAGAGGGTCTAATTAATGTAACATTGGTTTGTTTTATAGTAACATTCACTTGAATATTTACACAGCCAATGGAATATTCTGTAATAAAACAAATTTAGGGAAAAAGAAAAAAAAAACCAGTAGGGTCCACAGAAAAAAACAAAAATGTGACAATTGTAATACAGACGTTGTGTGTGTGTGTGTGTGGGTGTGTTTGTGAGGGGGACAGGGGTGGGTGTATGTGTCTGACTGTCTCCTGCAATTTGTGTTCAGCTGTGATTCAGGATTGAAGTTAATTAAATTTTCATCAGAGGAAGAACTTAAAAGAGCCCATGACACAATTTCAAAAATCTGGCCTTCATTTGATGTCAGCACATTCAGTTTGACGTCAGCTCGACAACAACAAAGTCAGACGGTGTGATGGAAGTCCTGTGTAGAGTTAATGAGACACAGACACACGACATCCAGTCTACATCACAGCAGCTGCAGTGTGTTTTACTGCTCAGACCTAAATGTCATTTTTGACACACATTTTTGAAAGCTTGAAAGGAAACGTGGGCTAAAGATTTAAGACTCCTATCTAGGAGATTTTTTAAAATGTTTTTCTTTTCTTTTTTTCTTTAATGTTGTAATCATCTACATTAACTAGTTAGCTTTTGGGTAACTTTTTTTTTATCCAGTCCTGAGATTCTTTTAGCCTATTTTGACTCAGTGTTAGCTATTTCTTATTATTTCTTGACTTGAAGTGGTTGTTTTGGTTGTGGAATAACTTTAAGCAACAGTT